CGATTGGTCAGATTTTCGATACGCGCGATCCGCGATATGCGCGATACGCTCCATGGGACTGCACCCTAAGGGTTAATAACATCCGTAGTTATGAAATTGTCCAATCATAGCTGTTCCTGAGGAGAATGGAACGACTGTGATTGGTCAGTTTCATAACTACGCATAATTAGATCCGGGCTTAATTGATTAATTTTTGACGATTTTACTATATTCATTATACTATACCTACTACACCCATATTACACCCGGGCTTTGTTCGTTTTTGTAATGTATAAATCTATTGAATTACCAAATAGTGACTTTTCCTAAATGAAAATAATAATGAAGACGTCTTCCCCAAATAATTTCTAATCGATTCCATTCATAAAACAAATTAAATAAAATCGCTGTCTGCTAACTTGACGCATGATAAAATTTGTTAATTACAAGAAAAATACTATTTCCCAAATGTTTAAATGCTTTTCCTAAATTTCCCCAAACGATTCCTAAATTATATAGGCATAAATAAATTAGACATAGGCTGCGTTCAGCAGAACGTTTGTTTTGCAACTGTTGGAAGTTTCCTTCGCGCTAATTGGATCATACTTTTAGATCTAGAAGAATGGTCCTATCTCAGCAGACAATCATAAAACGGTTGCAAAACTGTTGAGTCTGCTGAACGCAGCTAGTGATACTGTGGTGAAATCGTGAGAGTTGCGCTACTGTATATACTGTGGAGAAAGATCGCTAGTTACGCGGTGGAAGCGAATGGAAGCAAGTGGAAAAATGCTAAAAAACATAACTGTTGTGACCTGAGTTTTGAAAATCTTGGAACATTACCAATTTATAATTTAACTATTTGTGCTGATAGTTTCAATTTCTGAAAATATGGAGAATTTAGAAAAATCAGTCGAAGATACTAAAGATGAAGATAACGTCGAAAGAATCACGTGGAAAGATTTGGTAAGTATTCAGCCACAGTGATATCAATTATAACCTCAAAGTTGCACACATTGTTAATACGTTTTTCGTTGCGTCATGTGGTCCTAAGGTTAGGACTGAAGACGCGTATTTTCCCTCACTCCGAGGGACACTCCAAGAAAAAAAAAAACGTTAATACCTATGAAAATTTGTATGAAAAATTATTGAGGTAGTAAATCATAATAATATGTATGTTTATACAGTTTCTGAAACAAGTTACAAATCCTAGTTCTCTTCTGTGGCCCTTTGTGATTATGAAATTGTAAGAGATTTATAAAGTAGAATAGTAAGAATAGTAACATCGATTATTTACATTAGATTAGCGCTTACTAAAAAGTACTTTCTAACAACATACATAGACGACACTGTAAGCTCTATTACTATGGAGCATGTTAGAGCATGCGATGCAAAAACCATATGTAACACTGTATGTTTTCCAACTATGGCACAAGTCGACACAATCATACACAGCTAAAATGCTGTGTTTGATATCTGTCATTTTATATCACTTCATGAATATCAACAAATTTTACATCTTATTACCATTTATTTTTATGATCTTAGGAATTATTAATTTATCAAAGTAGTTAAGAACTTGAAGAAAAGGAAAACGATGAGATATATAATATAATAATTATTTTTTAAACATACTAAATTAGCGATAAGAGATAAATAGAAAGGGATAGGGAAGGGAGAAGGAAAGCAAAGAGAAAGCGAGAGAGAGAGAGAGAGAGAGAGAGAGAGAGAGAGAGAGAGAAAGCATATATTTATTCAAGCACCCTGGAATATGATACCTCCTCAAGCATACAATTTTATAGAAATTATTGAGTCGAAAAAATTTTTGAAAGATTTTGAAAAAATGTATACAAATCAAGCACTTTATAACAAATAAATCTTTAAATTTTATGATGAACAAGCAAAATGGATGGATAATATTTAGCATAAAAGGAATACATCTCATGTAATGTTTACTTATTATATTAAGCTATATTATATAATTAAAATAACTTATAAAAATATGAGTTATAAATTGTAAATATTTTTATGAACCCCTTTTGGTAGTACTTTAAATGATTAACAAAAACATAATTGTTATTACAGGGACTTGTGGATACACTCTGCAAAACATGTTTAGATTTAAAATGGAAGGAACCTACCAGGATTCAACAAGAAGCTATTCCTTTGACGCTTCAAGGTAATTTAAACAATAATTTAATTATAATCAAGTTCTAAAAAATAGTAACAACCATTTTCCACTGATAGGCAAAGATGTGATTGGATTAGCAGAGACTGGATCCGGAAAAACTGCTGCTTTTGCATTACCTATACTACAAGCGTTATTAGAGAATCCTCAGAGATACTTTGCATTAATACTGACGCCTACAAGAGAATTGGCGTTTCAAATCTCAGAGCAATTTGATGCGTTAGGTAAGAACTACTTATTTTGTCCATTAAATGCTTTTTTATTTCACATTACAATTATTTTAGGTTCCAGTATTGGCGTAAAAACTGTAGTGCTAGTAGGTGGGATGGATATGCATGCGCAGGGAATGATACTAGAGAAGAAACCTCATATCATCATTGCTACCCCTGGTAGATTAGTCGACCACTTGGAGAACACAAAGGGCTTCAATTTACGACAGCTAAAATTTCTGGTAATTATATAAAATATATATATCAGAGACTCGGATTTATTTTGATAGTTATCACATTTTCTTTTATTATTTGTTTTATTTGCAAGGTGATGGACGAGGCAGATCGTATCTTGAACATGGATTTCGAGATAGAGGTAGACAAAATTCTCAGAGTAATACCACGAGAAAGAAGGACGTTATTATTTTCAGCGACAATGACTAAGAAAGTGCAGAAGTTACAACGTGCATCCTTACGAAATCCTGTAAAAGTTGAAGTGTCCACCAAATATCAGACTGTAGAAAAACTGCAACAATATTACGTATTTATTCCAGTGAAATTCAAGGTATGAAATATAAATAATGTAACTATTAAGTCACAAAATAAAATATCAATTACGACATGTAATATATTTGTAAAATATTTACCAAAATAGTTGTATATAAACCGATCGTTGCAGGATGTATATCTTGTACATATCTTGAATGAACTGGCGGGTAATAGTTTCATGATATTTTGCGGGACCTGTAATAACACAGTAAGGACTGCTCTATTGTTACGAAACTTGGGATTCACGGCGGTTCCTTTGCATGGACAAATGACGCAGAACAAGAGAATCGCCGCACTTACGAAATTTAAAGCAAAAAACAGATCTATTTTAATTTCAACGGATGTTGCTAGCAGGTTAGTTCATAGTCTGAATCAAAGAGATATATTGAAATGTCTTATATTAAAAATAAATTTGTAATCATTTTTGCATTATTCTTGTAGAGGTCTTGATATTCCGCATGTAGATATCGTCATCAATTTTGATATCCCTACACATAGTAAGGATTATATACACAGAGTAGGTCGAACTGCGCGTGCAGGTCGATCAGGCCGTTCCATCACATTTGTTACACAATACGACGTAGAGTTGTATCAACGAATAGAACAGTTGATATCAAAACAACTGCCATTATTTCCTACGGAAGAGGAAGAAGTAATGTTGCTGCAAGAGAGAGTAAGCGAAGCGCAGCGAATAGTAAAAATGGTAAAAACAATTTTACAATGTATAATTTGATAACGGACATAAATAATTACATATAAATGTTATTGTAACATCTTAGGACATGAAAAACATCGAAGATAACAAAAAGTCAGGCAAACGGAAAAAACGCGGTGGTGACAACGAGGATGACGATACAGAACAGTCTATTGGAGTGAGGAAAAGAATGAAAGTAAAAAGCAAAAGAAAATAAGGACATTAGATATTTATAAGATGGTTAATATTAATTGCAATTAATTTGAATGTAATAAAAATTTTTTTTACAACTTTTGTACTTTAAAAATGACTTCCGTACTACTGGAATATTATTAGAACTTTGTTACGAATATTTTAATATTAACCGGCTGGATTCGCAGTATTTCGGTAGAAGTTGATCAAGTATTGTCAGTCAATCTCTGTCAGTCAATCAAGTTTACATGCTTCATATGTTGCGAGCTAAACTTCGAATCAAATTACGCGAATATGAATTATACGATTATAGCAAAATATAGATCGCATAACTGCACATTAGATTTAACAAGTTCGAAATTTTATTCGATAATATACGATTTAATAAAAAACAAAAATTCAACGACCTTGTACTTATATTTCATTTGCAAATTAAGAAATATTTTTTTCGTAAATCATATTCATTAGACATTATATATTTTCTCATATTTGTTATATACTGTATGTTTTTATATATTAGAGATTCTGAATTCATGTTAAAAGTCATGTCATTCTAAAATTAATATCAGAATATGCATGATTCACAGTTCGATATTATTTGAGGTTTCCGTTATTCGCAAATGTGGACTTTCACATCGTAATTTATAATTTTTTATATTTCGATGGTAATTTTCGATTTTTATAATCTTTAGTCCTGGAATTTTATAATTACATGAGTATTCTTTTATATCTTTTATAAACACACTGTGTGCTTATAGAAGATAAGTATGCGATCAGCTATCACTTAAATTTACATTATAGAAAGTCGATTAATTACCATAATGAAAAATCCATCATAATAATCTAATCGATTTTTCAATCGATTATTTTGATTACTATAATCAGCTATCCTAGAATACTGGAAGGCAAATATGAATTTTAATGTATAGAGTAATATTATGCACGAATTAATATGAACTGATTGATTTTCGTGATAATTTGCGTCCTTTGAGTTTGTTATAAAAACGCCACTCCGCTGGCGAATTGAAGTTCGATAAGTAACAAATCCGACAAATTTGCTCATTCACTGTTCACGAATATCTCATATAAATAACGAAAACTACGAATCAAGAATTAGGAATCGTGCATAATCTAGTAGCGCAAGCTTAACTGGATTAGCGGATAAATGATAGGACGGAAACTTGTACGAAGATATGCTCCTGTATATAAGACTTGAAATATAATTAACTCAAGCAATAAGATAAACATTGTTATACTGAAGAAATTAGTACTGTATTTTAACGACTTGAAGTCTTTGCACAAAGCAGTATGGTATTTAAATATCACTCAAATAATCACAATAAAATATATTATTAAGTAAAATCACAATTTCTTCATCATTTGCAGTGAACGCGTTAGGGGAAATTAATTCGAAGCATCGAAGACAAAATTTGTTATTATATAACAACAAACGGAGGTCTTCTTTCTCTTGCACGCTTCTATTTGAGTGTTATCACATAAGCAGAAATCCCGTTTACAAGAAGAAATGCAGACAAAGGAAAGCACGTTCGTCCCTACAGCAGAAAAGTGTTATAACGATCGTTATGTACAACTTTTACACTACTGTAAAATCGATAATTGATTCGTTTTCATCAAACTTCTATGGAAAATCAGTAATCCATTGTACAAGTTTTTGTAGTACAAAATACGGTACAAGAAACACGGGAAGTATTCCTTCGAATTTACAACTACGATGCATCCTCTAATCGCTAGGAGATTATTAATTGTATAAAGTGGCAACAGATCCTTATTATTTTTCGTGATCGTTTGAAACCGCTTAGCGGTGCACATAATCACATATCGCGCTGATCAACAAATATAAACGTGCTTGGAGAATATTTTTCGGTGTTTTATCATTGTCGTTTTGTTTTTGCAAAAAGCATTAATTAAAAATGCTGCAATTTTTAACTGTGATATTCATCACGCATTTAACTCGGTTATCAATTTGATGCAAGCTAGTTAACAAACACATTTTATGTGCAAGCAAGTACTTAATAAAATCGTCAGCAAACACAAAGTTTTGAACGTAGTCGGAATCGCGGCCGATCTCGTGCCCAGATTAATCGTTAAGTCTTAACAGAATTTTACGTGTTTTAAAACCTTGTAACTTAGATTTTACTCAACATTTTTAGTTGGTATTTAGGTGTAAAAAAAGTTGCTTTTTAGAAAATCTGATTAGCAATAGGATAGGATATTAAGAAAAGATATGAAAGTGGAAATAAAAAATATAAATGATTCCTGACTTTGTACTGATAAATATTCAACTAATAAATGATTTCGTCTATCTTTTTTAATATAATAAATCGATATAATTATTATTTAAGTGATCTGTAATAATTATATATATATATATATGTATCGATATATTCTATTAAAAAAGCTAGATGAAATCACTTATTAGTTGAATACTTGTCAATAAAAAAGCAGAGTTCACTTCTTCCAACTTTTATATCTTTTTTTCTCTCAGACATTTCATTACAAACTAGATTTTCGAAAAAAGCAATTCTTTTATGTCTAAATATCAATTAGAATCTAAAAATTTTGATTAAAACCTGATGTATAACAGGATTTAAAATAGAAAATCGCAGACTTCTGGGACTTAATGTGTTAACCCTTTACGGCATACACTTTTCTATCAGCCTAATTTCAATAAAACTTAATACTTAGATTTTGTGGGAGATCAAGATGTGATACCACAAGATGTGACACCTTACAGGAGACTCATGTTACAAAAAAGTAAAAAAACGTAAAAAATATGTAAAAAATTTGTAAAAATCGCAAAAACTGATAGTGAAAGATAACATATGGATATGTCACTATGCCGCAAAGGATTAAAAATATTATAACGTATGCTGTAATCTCGTAAACATTTGCCGCGTCGTATTTACCGCTGTTCCTTTATATATGTATAATGTTTAAAATCTCTCCGATAAATTAAAATAAATTTGAAAAAAGCATGATCGTGTGATTCCATCATGCAAATAATATCGATTGCCGAAATCTCTGCAACAAGAGTATCTGCTTAAAGTACATATATACGCTACGCTTTATTCAGTAATGAAATTTCATTTCTATCCCGTTAAATAATTGTATGAGAATCTCAACTTAGTTTTTATTACTAGGGAAAGGGGATGTATATTTAATCTCGTTGTCGAAGGTTTTTGTGATAATGAATGACGCATTCATAAAAAGGAGTCGTTACGATGTGACGATCCTATGCGAAATTATTTATTTTAAATGCTGATACTATTCTTACAACATGGTCAACAATGTTTAATACAATTAAAGAATTGTAAATATTATATGTACAAAATACTTTAATATTAAAAAATGATAACAATCATTACGTTTCTGTAACGTGTTAGTATAACATTGGATATACTAATAGATATTTTTTCTTTCCTTTTTTTTTCGAAACAATTACGGAACAATTACGACGTACTTAATCTTGTTTTATAATAATGTTTCATAGTATCAGCAATTTATTCAGATATTAATGTATTTACGATACGTTAATATTACTGCGATAATACTGAGTTTATAATAAATAAATTCGCACAGTATGACTCCTCTTTGCGATTCTCGATTAAACAGATATGCACATGCATATCGACAGCGATTAACGTCACTCGACGAGTAAAGTTGAAATGCTTATAAAGTATCATAATCTGAGGAAATGTCTATCTTGCAAAGTCTGTAGCATGAAAAGCTTACTATCACGCCTATCACGCTACTGTTAACAATACGCGGTACAATCTCAAACTTCGACGACGAGCCCCGGCCTTATCAATCGTTAGAACGCATATAAGTAACCTATTTCAAAAGCGGATTCTAATCACGATGGATGGAATGTTTTCCAAACATAGGTTGAGATGATGTGCTAGTGCGTCAACAAAAATCGAAACAACTTAGGTTTCATTCAAATGAGAAATAAAATATATTCCATAATATTATTATTCACTATTTCTACACATTCTGTACATTAATTCAATTTAAGGGTTTTATACCTCGATACACTTTATACAAAAAGGCTACTTATAATCTAACATTAAGACGTACCATAGCATGACCGCCCTCCGCCAGACAGCAGACGGGCCGCACGCATGTTTGTACTGGTATTACAGAGTCAGTCGCCAGCAAGTATATCATCCTTTCTCTCCCTCTCTCACGCTCTCTTCTTTCATTCTTCCCGTTATCACACAGCATACTGAATCATTCAATGTGTTTCTGCAATGCTTCTTTCTTCATTGTCCCTCCAATCTCCCTCTTTGCTTTCTCGGTATCATTTACAATAATTATTTCCCATACAATCTTTGCTTGTATCTTTTTTCATTCTTTTTTTTCGTTTGATCTATCCTTTATTGAAAAAAAAGGATTAAGAAAGATTTTGTCATCGCAACATCGAAATATAATGAAATGCTTTCATTGCTTTCTATGCACAAATTTGTTCTTTTTATAAACTGATTTTTTTTCTCTTATGTTGGACTCTACCGATTTTATACCGAACAGAATTATCTTCTAAAGTTCAGATAACACAATACCGGTACAGAAACGGCATATTTCGAAGACTCAATGAGTGACAGAACTGTTAGTTCAGATCTCTGTCCTCTAAGTACTTGTATTCAAAAGTAAATCCTTCTTTTTTCCTCTGCCCCCATTTTTCGTAGTCGAAATAGATGTACGTTCCCTGAAACGCAAGCGATTCTTATAGAACGTAATTAAACATGTCTAAGATGTGTGCTGTCAAATGATCAGTTTATTCCTATCTTATCTCTTGATGATTCCTTTAAATTACTCATTTTAGATGATTTTTAAACGAGTTCTTATAATTACCCATTTTCCCACAAAAATTAAGTTAAAAAAAAAAAGATGCACTAACCTGCTCGTATTCCTCATTAATAATTTTCGGTTCCTCATGCCTCTGAAACCACATCATATACTTGGTGTGAAACCTCCAACTTTGTTTTTTCAAAGCCTTTGCTGCTAAATACTGCCCCTTAGACCCCTCCATATAATAAAATATGAAGAACAAAGTTTCTGTAGAAAGACGTTGGAAGAACTCCACAGTATCCGAATGGGGAAGCTGAACCTAAACGGAGAACATGTGTACATTAGCAGCGTTCGCTATGCGGAGAGCGAATTACGGCTTTAGCATCGGATTAAAGAAATGTACCTGCTGATAATAAGGTGGCGTGGTGCATGTATTTCTCGGCAAATATGAACGTAATCTTTCCGAGTCAGACGGATGCGGCATATGATAGTAGGCGGCTTCCATCATTTGGAACTGCAGCTGGTGCTCCTTCTGTAACGGTACAGGCCCCAGGGGCGCGACCCCAAGCAGCGGAGGAATGTGTGCTTCCGACGTGGCATTGTTGTTGCTACTGTTGCTCGTCTTGGCACTGTCAAAGATGTTTCTATTCGGCTCGGAAGGTGGTATCTCGAGACCTGCTCGGACAATTACTTGTTGGGCAATGGATTTTAAAGAGGACATGCTTCCATCAGGAAGCTTAGGGATGAGACCATTGGCAGTGGACGGTGCTGGCGAGCAGGAGTTTGCGGGCATCGGCGAGGATCTACTGCTGACCGACGATTGCGGCGACGAAGATGGCGGTACCGGTGTAGTCATTTCCGTTTCACTATTGTGATTTTGACTCTGTTGACTGTGCAATACGTGCGTCGTCTGTGCCGGCGCCGGATTATTATTGTGCTGTTGCGCAACCGTTTGCGGCACATTCGACGTAACACTGGACGTAGATGATGATGATAAGATATTATTCTCACTGTTGTGAGCTACAAAAAAAAAAGATTTAATGTTATCTACCGAGACATATGTACGAGAGCGCGAATTGATCTTTCAGAACATTAGTTTCCACAAACATGAATTGTTAGTTGTGTAAGAAAAAAAATGAAATGTCTTACTAGATGTTTTGTTGGAGGTAGAATGGATGGCTTGCGAATTGCTGTGCGAGGCAGCTACGGTGGCGAAATTGCCGGCATTAGTCGTGGCAATGTGATTGCTCGTAGAACTAGGCGAGCTATGGCTAGGTGTCATGGGAATGGTTTTGCTTGGAGTGCTGCTCGATAACATGTTCGATTTTATAGTGGCAGTGCTTCCCGTGGTTGGAATGCTCGCTTGCGTATTCAGTAGCGGCCTGACTGCTGTTGGTTTCACAGGCTGAAATCAAAGACATTGAAAGCGATGCTCCATATATCCGCATCAAGTAGATCTCGACAAGGCTTATCGATCTGTACTTCTCAATTCTGTATGGCTTGATTCCTTCGAAAATGAGGTATCGATCCCCTTTTCGACTTTCTCGAATAAAAATGGAGAATGAAAGGACCCACACCTTGGTTTTCTTGTCATTATCTGTAGAACTATCGCTCGAATGGTTATGCATAGTGGAGCTCAACGACGGCGATGGTATAGGCGAAGTACAGGAATTAGTTGAGGTTGGCGTTCCTCCGGTTTCATTGCTGTTGTTACTATCTGTTGTTGCTGATGAAGGGATGCCAACTCCCGACAACTCAACTTCATCAAGGCCGATAATATCATCGTAAATATATTCGTTTTCCTCAAAATCGGGATCTTGCGAAGATTCGATATAATACTCAACATCGTCCTTTATCCTCTTGATCTGTTAAGAATTTCATAGAGAAATTAATAGAATTGTCTAATATAACTTGTTACACGATCGCTTCATATTATGCCAATCTGAAAACGCTTACTGTATTGACTTCGACAGACATATTATCAAGCATACGTAATAATGTCTCCAATTTACGGATATGGTAGCGGTGTTTGTCGAGCTTTGCCTTCAATTCATCCACCCTATCTTGCTTATCTTTGTCTATCCTTTTCTTCTTTCCCGCTTGTAACGATTCTATTTCTGATTCAAATGTATCCATCTACATTAAAAATGATGATAAACATGTTACAGCAACTTATATTCAATCATTATCAAAATTTATCCAAGATATCATCAATATGAAGACAAGTACCTGCAGATTGAGAGCGTCTATGGAATTGGCAAGCCAATTAGTAACCTCATCTTTCTCCTTCTGAGCTGGGTCCAATTTCTGAGCAGCGCCTAAACCTTCTTTAGAATAAGCTTTTGTTTTTGTCTCTCTTTCTACAACTTTAAATCTTTCCATTTGCTATAAAGCATAAAAACATTTACTATATAATTTACTTACAATTTATTTATTTTAACGTATTTTGCTTTAACTTGATCGTTAGAAGTACATGTTATGTGCAAATATACTAACAGTCTCAATCAACTTCCGATAGTCCAGAAGTGTACTCTTATCCTTTATTTCACCCGACGCGATCCAGCTCTTAATTTGATCGCGTAACCTTTGAAGTTTCTTGATTTCCTTTTTGAGATCAGCCTCGTACTTTTCTTTCTGATTGCTGTTCGTGGCATTATGAACTTTTTGCCAAATATCTTCAAAGGTTTCCACACCTTCCGTTACTTTTTTAAGGCACCGATCTATTTCACCTGAAATACAACACATATACAAATTATTATATTGTCTTATATTTAGTCCCTTGATATAAATTGTTTAATTTCACTTAAAAGTTATTTAAAATAGAAAAGATTTTAATATAAAAAAATAACAAATTTATCAGTTTTCTTCATTTCTCAATGCTTATTTTGATTCATAAATAAATTGTATAAATTATTTCCAAAGTTTTTAAATTAATTTGTTTTTTTGGCCAAAAGTGACAAATTGAAGTTTCACTTAATATTATAATTAATTTATTCTTCACTTAAAATAAATACTGTAAATAATAATTTGTATAAGTTTCACATTTATATTTGTATCACAAGAGAATTTTTAAAAAAGACGTATCATATATTATAAATAGGATTTTTATGAGATCAAAATCTACATACAGCACAGACTTTCAAGCAACATTCTAAGGATGTTCCCAGAATCCCTTGACAAACTGTATTTGATGGATGAAGAAGAAAACAAAGGCTAAGTTTTGTTATGTATTCACTATAGATTCTTTCCATTTGATGACACAAGTCAACACAAGCATCATTGACTGAATGTCAAGAAAGATAGATTGATGCTTGTGTCGATTTGTATCACCAAATGGAAAGCATCTTACAAGTACTGAAAATATATAGTATATAATAATGTGAACTATAGATGTTTAATACTTGCAGTGAATAACAGAACACAGCCGAAGTATGTACGATGATCACAAAAAATATAATAAAAAAAACTTCATTTTTAAATAATTATCTTAGAATAAAGAACATTCACATTCTACATCTAAAAACATAAATAATTTGTAGCAAGAAATCTGTTCTTTGTAACTGAACTACAGTATGTATTGTATGTAAAAAAATGGATATATATTTGAAGTTTGGCGAAAGCCAAAAGAATAGGAAGTTTTAGTGCAATCCAGTGCAATGACAAAGGATAGGCTTAAGCATAGTGAAACAGGTTTCAAGGTACACAGCGTATGACTCGCACTATTGTAATTAATTAAAAAAGTTGAAGTTTAAAATCTGTAAAGGTTATGACAAAATAAAAAGTCGTGTTCTGCACGGTGGAAGACCCATCGCGATTGTAGGAGGTAAGTGAGACAAAGCGAAGTAGAGTCCATGAACCCGGGTCGTCCGCATCATTGCAAACCATTGTAGCCATTTGGGCTATGATGCTGGATTGGCGCCTCGCGATATGTTGTATGCCGGGAATCGTGCCGTTCATGATCGCGCCGAGTCAGCGACTTGGCGCGATTCGCAAAAGCGCCTTCATGGCGGAATCGCGGGAGACCGGCAACAAAGCTGGGAACACGCGACGACCCGGATGACTCGTCCAGTCCGATGCAGCGGCGACCGCGGCAAGAGACAGGAACGAGCGATATATCCAAATGTAAACACGCTGGTAACACTTTCTCCTCACCTTGCAACTTTCTTGTCGCAGCCATGGCTATGTGAACGTGTGATAAAATGGTTCATGCATAGTCTAGACGTATTTGGTGAGATACAAAGCAATTTATCGGAACAAATAGCTGTGGAACTATTATTCCCCGTATGATATGGGAGCCTCGGCCACAAGATGGCTTCCGTTTTCAAATGACAACGTCCGACCGTCCGTGTGTCGCGCACAGGCACAGAGACCCTCCGCGATTCTGCCCCTAGAGATTTCCTAAGACGCGTAATCACAAGCCCGTTTAACGTCGTTCGCGTATGTAAGGAACCTTTTGCCGAGAAGCCGGCGTGTCTTGCTTTTGCCGCCCGTAAAAGAATCGCGAAAGAGGCGAGTAGCATCAACAAACGTGATATACACGAGATATGAAGAGCGAGATAACGTGATACGCGTCGACGCACTCGCACACATTCTATCCGTATATACACTCTAGGGTAGGTTCGTAAATACGATATTGCATGACGTGTATCTAGACGCGATCATGCAACTTCCCTATGATATCTCTAGAGGTTTGTTCGCGTTGTATGCTCCAACATGTTCCAATTAGAAACCCTTCAATGGGTGCGTTCAGCAGAACGTTTGTTTTGCAACTGTTGTAAGTTTCCTTCGCGCTAATTGGATCATACTTTTAGATCTAGAAGAATGGTCCTATCTCAGCAGACAATCATAAAACGGTTGCAAAACTGTTGAGTCTGCTGAACGCAACCATTGACTACGTTTAGGGCCACTGTCACCAAGCTCAGTTAACTTAACTGTAGGGCTATTCTGTAACTTTTAAGGGGGGATATACAGTTAGAATGACCAAAAAATACAAGTAATTATTTTTTGAATAAAAAGTTAGTAAATTTCCCGTAGAATACGCTCCTGAAACCCTTTTTTCGAAATTCGAACTCCAAGTGTTTTTTTTTCATCGTTTTTCGAAGTCGCCTTTTTCGCGCGCAGGAGGTATAAACATACGCTTGACCGAGAAGACCTTTTTTCTATTGTGTGTTGCTTTGAAGTATCCTCAGGGACAAATTTTTATACCTGAGTGTATTATACACGTTTATATGTGTGTATATGTATGTGTAAGGACCTAGTTATATGGTCCCGGGATTGCTGATTAAAGTGTAAGTACGATTTTTCGATAATTAAAAATTTCAACGCGTTTTTCTCAAAACAGCATTTTCGGAGTTTATGCCGGTGATAACTCGAAAACTAATTATCCGATTGAGCTGAAACTTATAGGATTTCTTTATTATAGTATTACCTTCTATATGAATTAAAAATTATTGTAATATTTTATTATTAAATATGAAAAAATGTGATAAAATGGCGGAAAAAATGTTGATTTTTTCGAAAAAGTTACGCCAAAAGTGCAAATTTTTTTTTTTTTCACTTTTTTTTCAATTCATCTACTAACTGTGAATGTAATTGATGTAAATTTTTTTGATTTTTTCATTTCAGATCAAAATTGCGACCAGGAGAGCCGGCACAAGCAAAACACAACGACTTTTTCAACGCCATCTAACGGACGCCATTTTGTTGACAAAAATTTAAAAAAAATATTTTTGTATACTACATGGATACACTTATAATTGTAAAAAAGTTTCGATTGATTTGAATAAAAACTTCACCTTGAAAAAAAATTTTCAAAAATGAGTTTTTTTCCTCGTTCAAACTGTATATCTCCCCTTAACGACAGTTCGGTATCGTTATATTGTCGTTGCGCAGTTTTTTCACCACGTAAAATACCTGCGCAACGACATCCCTAGCTAGTAAAATTGTCGTTAAAAAATTACAGAATAGGCCTACTGGCCAGTTAATTCATCGGAATTGACCAATCGCATTTGTCATTTTGTTTGAAGTAAATAATGCGATTGGTCAATTCCGATGGACTAACTGGCCAGTTAAGTTAACTAAGCTTGGTGACAATGGTCTTTACACGGCCCGATTTACGCCGAAGTTATAACATCGATGTTACGGAACTAGCCAATCATAGCCATTTTTCTGAAGAATGAAATGACTATGATTGGTCAATTTCGTAACATCAATGTTATAACTTCGGCGTAAATCGAACCGTATAAACGGAGTCAATCAGAGACTGGCCATGGCTGCGTTCAGCAGAACGTTTGTTTTGCGACTGTTGGAAATTTCCTTCGCGCTAATTGGATCATACTTTTAGATCTAGAAGAATGGTCCTATCTCAGCAGACAATCATAAAACGGTTGCAAAACTGTTGAGTCTGCTGAACGCAGCCCATAAGAATTTCGTCAAATTTCTCTATGGCCAGTCTCTGATTAAAGGGTCTCTAGTTCCAATATGCTCCTACCATAGCTTACTCACTCTAACGCGCTTGAGAGTGCCATTAAGCTGGTTCTACATTAAGCTGGTTCTACATTAGTCGCATCGCAGCGTCACAAGCGTTGCAGTCCAATCAACATCAAGTTAGCTCGATTCTGATTGGACTCCAACGCTGCGACACGCTTGCGGCGTTGCGATGCAACTAAAGCTGGTTCTACATTAGTCGCACCGCAATGTCGCGAGCGACATTTAGGCCGGTATTCATAGTCAGTTCTTATATTCAAGACCGTCTTAAGTACGATCTTAAGAAGTCACGAACCAATCAGAAAACTGCATTAGCGTCTTAAGACACTACTTAAGGCCGGAATCAGACTAGGCATTAAAGATTGAGATTGAAGATTGAGATTGAAGATGAAGATTGAAAGATTGAAATTTGACTAATCAAAACAATAGGAGCTAAAATTCCTTTGCCCTCATTGGTCAAATTTCAATCTTCAATCTTCGATTTCAATCTTCAATGCGTAGTCTGATTCCGGCCTAACACGGTCTTGAAATAAGAATCGACTATGAATACCGGCCTTAGACTGAAATCAGACTACGCATTGAAGATTGAGATTGAAGAGTGAAGATTGAAATTTGACCAATGAGGACAAAGGGATTTTAGCTTCTATTGTTTTGATTGGTCAAATTTCAATCTTTCAATCTTCAATCTCAATCTTCAATGCTTAGTCTGATTCCGGCTTTACATGAGCGTGGAAACACGGAAACGCGCAACCAATCAGTAATCGGTGAGACGCGAAACTATAACAGCGAATTGCTTCTGATTGGTTACGCATTTCCGCGTTTCCGCGCTTCATGTAATCGCACCCTGAGTAGGAGCTATGGTAGGAGCATGTTGGAGCATGTTGGAGCTTGCGATGCGTAGTGCAAATACGCGTGCTTGAGCGAATTTATTCTCCTCTCATTCGACTGTAATTGGTCAATTTCTTAAGGTGCATTCACATGCAAGTGTCAAGCATCAAGTAGTGGAAGCAGCAACCAATCAACGAGGATTTTTATGGTGGCGTAAAAAATATTTTTTACACCACTGCCCGTATTGTCCAGCTGATAGGTTACTGCTTCCACTGCTTGAAGCTTGCATGTGAATGCATCTTTATGGCTTAAGGCTTAAAACACCTATTGGGTGCGTTCCGATATTCAAAAAGCCGAAATTGTCGACTACCAGCGCGAATTCTGATTGGCTGCTGCTTTTCCGCTTTCTGCTTTTCCGGTGTGAACGCGCCCGCACTGCCAGTGCTGAAAATTTATAGCGTATGTAACATATACTGCATAGTTTTAGCACTGGCAGTGAAAATCGGAACGCATTGTAGATCCGGATTGACCGGAATCAGAAGCCCGTATTTAGGATATCGATTATGAAACTTTATCCCTAGGATGGAAAGTAAAAGTGAAAATTTTTACCATTGAAGTTAATGGAGAAATTTTTCACTTTTTATTTTTCACTCTTGAGAAAAAAGTTTCATGATTGATACCCAAAACGCGCTCACCACAATATTAGCGCGTTAACACATTATACTTTACGTCACGCATATTATAGAATTTCAGAGATAAAAGCGCGTTCTAAATACGGGCTATTGTGTCATGGACACAAGGTTTAAGGCTACTTTCACATGCAGCGTAGTAGCTGATAAAATTTGATACGATTTGATAAGATTTGATTGGTTGATACAAGTTACGTTTACGCAAGTTACGCTTAGGGTGAAATCACACGGTGTGGAAAAGGACTGCGGAATAGAGAATGCGTCATTGAAGCAACCAATCAGCGCTATTCCGAATAGTAAGCGTAATGGATTTTAATCATTTCGCTTACGGACTTATTCTACGCTCTGTTATATTCCTAGCTACAAGTGAATGATCGATCAATATAGAATTAACATCAATCGACATTGAATTAACATCGATTTGACGTTAATCGACTAACCATGGCTTAGCTGGAAAACCAGCTTATTCCCGACATGTTTACAGTTTCTACTGCTACTGTTCATTGTAGACGGTGTATTATGCATGATCTATACTGCAGTAGCAGTAGTGGATGAGACTGTAAGAGTAACAAATTGACCAATTACAGTTAAATGTAAAAAGAATAATCGACTGTAATTGGTCAATTTCTTACTCTTACAGCCTCAACCATTACCCCGGATCTACAATCGGGTTTTAAGCCTTAAATCATAAGAAATGGGCAAATCATAGTCGATTATTCCCCTCGGATTCGACTGTAAGTCCGGATCTACAATAGATGTTTTAAGACTTAAGCCGTAAGAAACTGACCAATTATAGTCCATTTCTTATGACTTAAGGCTTAAAACCCTATTGTAGATCCGGGGTTATTGATCAATTTCTTATGGCTTAAGTCTTAAAACACCTATTGTAGATCCGGACTAACTGAGGCTGCGGTCCACTTGACGCTACAAACGCTTCGAAGTATTCTTTGATTAGTCAATTCGTAAAATTCTTTATTCTAATTGGTCGCTCAAACGCTTCGAAGCGTTTGTAGCGTCAAGTGGACCGCAGCCTGATACTGCCATTGTAGACCATACATAAAGCTGGTTCTACATTAGTCGCATCGTAGCGTCGTAAGCGTTGCGGTCCAATCAACGTCAAGCTAGCTCGACTTTGATTGGACTGCAACGCTTGCGACACGTTTACGACGCTGTG